TACTGTTCAATGTTCTGCTGATGGTCGCTTGCATGTCTTCATCTTTCATGTACTGACAGTTCAAGGTAGCAGTATTTAGCGTTTTCTTTTGTCGAAGCAAATTCCGCGGTAGCCCGGAAAAGGGCCTTTGGTTTTGGACGGCTATAGGTTTCGTAGTGACAATATTTGCGCGTCTGGAAATGCAGTGAGCAGCTGGTGTCGGGCCATCGACTTTAGGTGTCTGCTGATTTCTGACCTTTGATGTCATGATTGGATATTTATATCACATTATAGTTGGTACCACCTGGAGATGATCAGAGTCAAACACCGATCCTCCCAAATTTCAGAACTGATCGAAATTGTTGTGTGTACACTGCACCCTATGTGATGGGAGAAGTATACTGGCGAAGCATATGTAATTATAGGAAATATTTAGTTTATAAGAAACAGTTGTCTGACTGCTTTGGGATTATTAAGGAAGTTAGAGGTTTTAGATAATAGCTGCACTCTTATACTTTTATGAATACCTTTGTTGCCTGTGAAATAAAGTGTAAAAAGTTCGGACTAAAGTGAAAAGTTTTGTCTATGATGATTCCAAGATACTGAGAACGCTGTCTTTCTTTTGAATCTAGAGCGAAATAAAGGGAGCAAGCCTGTTGGTTATTCTATTACTGATTGCTTATTGAGCCGGAGTAAATATTCTTTTGTTTGACTATGATTGATGAGTAAGCAATTTTCCCCTGACCAATTCTGAATATAAATGACTGTGCTGAAATACGTTGTGAAATTTTTCACTGAACTCACTCTATACAGTGCAAATATATCATCGGCAGATTTTATGAGAGTATTTATTAGTTTTACATTACATACATTAGTGTGTAATTTAAAGAGAAGCTCAGATACCACGGATTCCTTCAGAATTTCTGAATGGTTTGGTAGATCAGAATATTGCGTCCGTTGACTCGTATGAACTGAGCGCGATCAGAAAGAAAGTTGGCTTACTAGGTCATGGTATTTGAATCACTGTCGAGAGAACACGGAATTGCTCTAAGCTTTTCACGCAATGTACACTGTTCAATCTATTGCTGTAGTCCAGAGAAGCTCATCGGGTAGGAAACTGCAT